TGCCCACTCGCCCTGCTTGCCTATATGCCAGTGTTGCGTGTGGGCGGCCTCCCTTCAGCCTGCGACTGGGCCCCAGTGCCTGAACCCAGGCCCGATGCAGTTGGGGCCCCGATGATGCAGTTGTGCCTCTTTTGTCAAGGCCTGCGGCCAGATTCAGATAGTGGGCCGATTTCCCTTTGGCATTTTCAGCCTCTATACCCAGCATGCATTGTCGGCCTCACGTTCGAGTCCCCAGGGCCTAACTAACTCAGAGGCCCTGGGCTTTCAGCATTTGCTGAGATCCGAGACTCGGTGCACTCCAACCAACTGGCGTGCTGCAACTGTATGGACCCCACTTCGTGAAATGTTTGCACAGAGGGCTCTTATTGATTTGCTGGCCCACCTTCACTTAGGGCGGGCACGAGGCTTGCTGGGGCCTTAGCCCAGAACATGTACATCATGGCAAGGCCCCTTCTTGAGGGCTCAATCCTCACAAAAGGGGCTAAAGGGGTTTAAAAGGGGATGCCTTAGTGTGATTTGGTTATTTTCTTTTTTATCTTCAGTTCTGTGAGGAATTCTGATGTGACCCTCAGCCAAAAGTTGTTTGTATTGCATTTCTACACAACATTTTTTTTCCAGATCTTTTTTTTTTTTTTTTTTTTTTTTTGGGGGGGCGCTGGGGCTGCCGGGGCCCATGCCTGGGGGTCATGCCCGGCCGGTCACCCGGTCGCCAAACCGGGCGTGACGTCCGGACGCAGGTGCCCGGGATATCTGCCTGGCCTGGTAGGGCAAAAGGTCCCAGGCCAGTCTGGTAGCCTAGAATCTTTTTTTTGATACTTCGGATCACCAGCTACTTAATTGATTGGCTGACTGATTGATCATTGATTGATGATCGGAATCATTGGATAAAAAAAAAAAAAAAAGACTGCATACGCTAGTGTGTGTGGGACTCTCTCTCTCTCTCTCTCTCACACACACACACACACACACTCTCTCTCTCTCTCTCTTCTCCCCATCTCTCTGTTACCCCCTTCTCTCTCTCTCTCAAAGTCTCCCCCTCTCTCCCTTCCTCCCCCCCCCTTCTCTTTCTGTGTCTCCGTCTCTCTCTCTCTCTCTCTCACACACACACACACACACACACACTCTCTCTCTCTCTCTCTCTCTCTCTCTCTCTCCCACACAGACACACACATTAAAAAGTTTCAAGGAAAAACAAAAGAAAAAGGCAAAAGGAAAAAAAAATAGTGAGTGAGCAGGCACACTTTCGACGCCACCATCTTTGGAGATTTTTCTTTTTTTTTGGGATCAAATGCCCTGAAAATTTAAATGTGTAATGACTCGCCAAAACACACTGAGAACACTGCTGATTTCTGGGATTTGCCACCGGAATGTATGCCTTGATGAGATTCCCGCATTCTGCTGTGATTTCTAAGTCTGCGCTGCCTGCTGGTCTGCACGCCTGTCTGAGTGCGTGTCGGCCTGAGTGTGTGTGTGACCCGCAGGGGTACTTGGTGGTTGAGAGGCCCCGCAGGGCTGGTACTTACCTGTGGCCGTGACTTTGAGGGTTGCAGTGGGGAAAAACACTCAAGTAACAGGGGTAAGCCCGCAACACTTGAGAGCAGCGTGAAAAACACTCAAAAGTAGCAGGTACACTGGCGCCACTCAAGTAGTGGTAGAAGTGTCGGGTACTGGAGGCTGAGCAGAAGAAGTTGGCATTTTTAGAGGCCCAGTAGCGGTAGGCCAGAGGTAGGCCGGCACCAGTGCAAGAAGCCTGAGGCTCCTCCTCATTTGCGGTGTGCAAGGATTGGCAACATACTGCTGGAGCCAAGCGCTGGACTTCGACCGCTGTCTGGAGGAGGAGAGCAGCTGGGCGCTCAGCCTGGCTAGGCGAGCAGCCCAGCCTGAGGAGGAGGGAGAAGGGGGCGAAGAAGGAGAGTGGCGAGATACCTACCTGGCTATGGTGGACACCATCTTCATCACTTTGATAGGCGCTGCATCTGGAGGGCCCCAGTTGAGGTAGTACCGCACCATGCAAGTTCGAGGCAGAGTCAGGCATGGCGGCCTGATCAGCAGCAACAAGCTGCTTTGGGTTGTCCTTTGGACAAGAGGGCAGAACCCTTAGTAGTCTGCCATAGCCTAGGCACGTGAAAGGAGGAAGAAGGGGGAAGCCGTGGCTATGGTGGACCTGTTGTTGTGTCAGCAGTAAGAGGGAACTTCGGATATTGATTCTGGTTCACCCACTCGTTGTTATTGAATTGGAAGAAGAATAAGATTGGCGAAGTCAAGGAGGAGGAAGGTGGAGAGAGAAGGGGGATTTGTCATTGGTCTTGCTGGCGTACGTCTTCTTCTTCTTTTCTTTCGCAATTGGGTAGCATTGTCTTTCCTTGTGAATTTGCACTTTGGAAATGACAAGGATCGTAACAATTGGTATCGGAGCGGACTTACTTGCTGGCGAGAGGTGTTAGTCACCCTATCCCTACTTCCGAATGAGGTTAGGGCTAACCTAATCTCGGAT